TTTGATTAACTTAATATAGACTTTCAATATTATGTGTGTAATATTTATGAATATACATAAAAATAATTTTATGGAATCAAAGTCAAAATCAAATACAAATTTGAAAGAAATGAGTAATATTGAAAAACAATCACAAGATTCAATCTAACACATTTTCGTACCATATGAAAATTTTATTGCCATTAAGTTACCCCATAGCTTTTTTAAATTTTATCTACTTTATTGTCATGATTATTAATTTTCATTTTTATTAATTAATTAAATGTGGCTACGACTCAATTTTATTACTATTATTTAATTTTTATTTTTTGGACTTGATTTTTAAGTTTCGTTACAACGCAACTGCAATTTTCAAAACTCGTATTGCAATTGTGTCAAGTTTGTGTCTTAAGTTTTTTGATTTTTCTATTGCACATTTAAATCTGCCTCCTTTAAGCATTTGTTCACACTGCGTATACATTTCTAAGTTTTTCTTTTCAATTCACACGAGCATAATAAATAGTTAATACACATTATTAAACTTTACATAGATTAATTAAAAGTAAGCATAACTAACATAAATAAATTTACGACTTATAATGAAGCACTGAAATTCATTACAGAAATCATGTTCGAATGGAAACACTCGAAACATTGCATTTGTTAATACGTTTAATTGGCTCTGCGCTGAGCCCGACTTACGACTACTCAGTGCAACAAATTGAAGTCGTGCCTTAAATATGAGTTCTATTACAAAGCCCGTGCTAATATTTGCTCAGTTACATGGAATTGATCAATAAGTTGCAGTTCTTTGATTTTCAGTGAACAGCACCAAAAACGAAATGTCCATCAAAATCGAAACTACAGTTTTTTCCAATGTTTGCGCATAAATGTTAAATGAAAGAAAAAATTTATTTTTTCAATTTTTATTTCACAATTATATAAAGATTTATTTTAGAAAATCATAACTTTTAATTATTTTAAGATATTTACGCGCTTTGGCATTGCGTAATGACAAACTGAAATGGACAATTTGAATGCATTTTCATTTTCGTATATGAAAAACGCATTAATAACTATTGGGCAGTTGTTAATTAGTTGTTTAAGATTTGTTTTCTTATTTTATTTCAATATTTCTAAAATTAAGATTTATGCAATAAAAGTAATAATCAAAATTTTTAAAAATTTTTAATGTTGTTTTAGTAACCCTACTCGCGATACACTTTTTAAACTTACTATAATCACAAATTTTTCTGTCTTATATTCATTAATTTCGGTTGATTTTAAACGATTTGCTATGCACCTCAAATATTTTAAAATTGCAAAATGAATAAATAGTATCTGTTAATAAAAATGTATAAATATCATTCGGGCGTGGTAATGTTACATGTTACCTGAGAGATGTTGCAACATCTCATGCTCGGTATGGTTGTGGTTAAGCTTGAAATATATGAAATAATGATTTTACCCTTTAAAGTCAATTGCCTTATAAAAATGTATTCTATTTATTGCTTAAGCCTATTTCCATCTATTTACATCTATTGGTAGTGTGTAGATGCTAAGTTTGGAGATAAAACAAATTGTAGTGAGTATATATATATATAGTATATATATATATATATAGGTATATTCTATAAATATATAATAGTGCGAAGAAATATTTGTAACAGGTGGCGAGCACGCCATAAGGGAGCAATATGATAGAGCAACGACAACTTGCAGCTCGATGGAATGATTTACTCTAAAACCCTAAAATGTTTCAACTACGTTCGTTAGTCGATTGAATGCTTTATCCTAAAACCGTTATATATTTCATCTGACAGAATGTTAACTACCATAACAGCAGTAGAAAGTTCGTTCGTTAGTTGTTTAAAATGGAACAATTTGCTTAGTATTATGTATGAGTTTAAGAGCTTTTAAATATCTTGCATAAGACATACCAGGTTAATAAACACTGGTATAGGCTATACTATAGCAGGTTAGGTTGGAGTGGCGACCTTGTGTCCAAAGTACACTTAAGCTCAAATAACGGCCCGTTGCGATACCACGGATTCTATAGTAGAAAGCTTAAGCATTACTATGAAGTTGTGTCATTATAGATAAAAACAGTATGATCTCTTAAAATTAATATGTAGTTTTTAGAATAGTAAAGTAAACTAAGCACTATATACAACTAAGCACTATTTCAAAGTTACTGTATAATACATGAGATAGGCTTGTTGAACGAAATTAAAATGTTCCTGAACATAGTTCAAAAATTTTAATCAATTCGTCATGAAAAGTAAACAACAATATCAAATAATAGTTATTAAATTGATTTTTAATATTCGTTCTGATGAAAGAATTTAAATTCTTAATATAAACTATTGTTTTCAATAGTAAAATTTCTACCAAACAGTATTGAAATTGCAACAAGAAACATTTTTTTTGTTATTTTTAATTGTAGTGAACAATGACTCTGAGCTTCGAATTTGGCAGGGTACGAGTTCAACCCTTGGTACTTGCAGTGTTAAAGAATTGTTTACGACTAATTAAATATAAGAAATAATTTCAAGACCATTTATGATGGGAATTTGGCTGCATGGTCAGCCATAAATTCAATTAATTAAAAATAATACAATAATAATAGTTATTAATTATTTTTCGTTTACTTTCTAACTTACACTGCTTATTACGAGGGATGTACGATTAACACCAATCAAAGTATTATTAATTTTGAAAACAAGTTTATTAATAAAAAGTGCAACAAACTCTAATAAAAGCTAGTTTACTCTAAGCCAGAAAAGCTGAAATAAAAACCAACAAGAAATAAAAAATTTATTTACCAGTAATATTTTTAAACTTGTTTTTACACGTTTTTTGTAGAACCTGGCCATGCAGCGGGCAAAGCTGTTTTTGCCCAAGTCGTTCACGATTGTGATTACAAACACTTGACACAGTATCAGTGGCCAATTTTGGCAAAAGCATGCAAAAAGAGTGGCAATTGAGCGTTTAATCAGCTTTAGCCAGCAATTGCCAGTGTAAACTTGCAACAAGAGCGTTTCAAGTTGTTGATTGCAGCTGTTGTAGCGTTGCAGTTGCAGCAATTCAGCGGCAATCTAAAATGTTGTATATTTCCTTTGGCTAAGCGTTTTATCTATTGTTTGTTTTAAGCAAATCTATTGTTTGTATTTTGTGGTTTTTGCGGCATGAGATAGTTCGTGTGCAAAAAGTATGAAAACGCTCAAAACTATAATACTGAGCGATACCGGCAACTTGCATTATTGACAATGGGAAGCGGTAATTCATTAAGTGGGTCAGTGGGTAAATGGAGTTTAAAGCTTGTGATATTAACACATATATAAATTCATGTCAAAATATGTATTGTTAGGAGAATAAACTGTTGATATGTTATTGTTGATATTGTTGATACTATACAGTATCAATCTCAACAGTAAAGTTGTTTGTGGAAATATTGCTATCATCAGTTCACTCAAAACAAGTTGCATTTTTATGTAAATTTTGTAAGATATTTTTAAATGCATTTTATTTCAATAAAATAACCTCTAAATAAAATCTTTTGTATAAGAGAATCGCTGTGGATTGTTAGTTTTGAGAACAAATATAGAGAGAACTGTACAATAAGTTAATGTAAACTTTGCATTTGTGTTTTGAGCTAATAAACTAGTTTCATCGTTGTAACATTTTTGTTTACATCAAAACGAAATTAACTAAATTAAATAACAAATAAAAAAAAATTAAATAAAATATGTGCTAAGCATTCTGCAATTCTTCGCAAAAGTAAATACTGAAGTGCATGTAACACCAAGTCAAACCGGCTTCTGCTCCGGCAATTCGGGCTGCTAGTCTAGGCGCGCTTAATACGGCTATTTAAACCAAAAAATTCAAAATCTTCTAGTAACAAGCAAAAAATTAATTTACTGGAAGTGGCCTGCGAAAGGCGTCTTACATAACTGTGGCTAGAAGCCAAACTTGATTGCTGCTATTTTCAATTTCATTTCAATTTTTCAAATTTTTTCAAAGTACGCTGCTCCGTGCTGTTTACGGTGCGTACATTTTAGGTTTTTAGACTGAACACTCTTCAAAACTAGGCTAAGTATGTGCAATTTTAATGTTTTTTTTTTGGTAATACTTAGTTTTCCGATTTGTTTAGGAATGCACAAATTTTTTGGTTTGAAAGGAATCTTAGGAAGTCATTGTGGCTAATCAAAACCCAATTTTTCACGCTCGAATTTGGCATTACAAGCCGATTATTATTTAAGGGATTTCAATTCAGTTATTTGCAAACTAATTTGCAGAATTTTGGATGGAGTTCGGTATGAAAACTCTATATAATTAAAAGCAATAAATATAAAAATTTGAATTTAAATTTTAACATTTATTGTGCACTGATATATATATATGGTATATCCATAGTACTTGCAAGTGAGTTTGTAAATTTTTGAGAAAGGCAAGTTTGAATTAAAATTCAAACGTGCAATTATGTGACACGTAATATGAGTTTTTGCAGGTTTTGTCCAAGTTTAGCTGTTCTGGAATTATTGCAGTTCGTAAGTACGAGTATTTCTGTTGGTTCAATTCAGTTTATTTAATTCGGTATTTAATACGGTAGCAAATACATTTCCTAATCGATTTTTTGCCTGCTGTTGTGCTTTTCATATTCTTTACGTAGTGCAATTGCAGTGCAGTGCTTGTGGCATTTAAGCTTAAGTGCATTTGGGTTCCAGTGCAAGTATTGCAATTTTTAGAAACAAAACGACAACATTTAGTATTGCCCAATTTGTAAATATTTATATAGTAAATTTATACGCGCTGTGGCAACTTAAAAATTAAGTGTCCATTAAACTCGTTTTAAAAGCTTAAAACATGTTTCATATCAAGAATTATCAGACAAGTTTTTTATTGAAAAGATGTTGCAGTTTCACACTTTTCCTTTTTTCATTTCGATTATTTAATTTTCGATTTATTTAATTATTTAAAGGAGAGAAGTAACAATTAAGTTATTAATATATTTTACTTACAATTTGTAATTCAGTCATATATTTTTTCCACCATAAAAATTTAGCGTATTCTGGACCCATCGCCGACATCATGTAATAGAAGTACATGCAGACATGGACAAAGTTGTTCAGTAAGTTGGGGAATGTCGCATTACCACCTAAAATAAAATATAAAAAGTTATTAATGAAAGTATAAAAACATTTTTATTACAAATAAAATAAAATCAATGTAAAATATCTATTAGGTGCAAAACAACAAAAATCCTATTAAACTAATAATAATTGTTAATTATTTCTATATAAAACTTTTCTTACCTTTAAATAGCTTCTACATTATGTTATTAATATTATGATCTATATTATATTTATTTTATTTTAGTGTGTATTACTTGTAATTACTTTTAAAATTATCAGTAAATATATAGAAAAATGGTAAGTAAAATAAAATCAATGACGAATATCTATCAAGTGTAAAAAAAAATACCTATTAAATTAATAATAATTCTTAATTATTTCTATATAAAAATTTTTTACTTTTACTTTTATTTCTTGAACATTACTTGCTTCTACATTACTTGTACAAAATTATTGCGATTTATATTATGAAGATATATAATGAAGAATATAGGGACACAACCCTCAAGTATTACCAATAAAATTCCAAGGTAGGTCTGGTACACGAGGGGATTATTTTTAGTCCGTATAAATCGGGCATACCACTATTGTGACGCTATAGTGATGATGCGTCTTTAAACCCCTCCGCACAAACAAAAAGTATAATGAAGTTTGCTATAGTCTAAACCCGAAATAACAGTGATAATAAAATATATTTTTAAAAACTAGTTTAAAAAGTTGTATATTATTTAACACTGACTAATTAGCGCGTTCAAAAGAATATAGATCGATGTCATTATTATTAATTATTTTTAATTTTTATTATATTTTATTTTTAAAATTTTTTATTGTATTTTGTTTTTTCTTAATATTTTATTGTATTTTATTTATATAATCTCTTATAATTAGTTTTTTAGTATTACTTTTTGTTTTTGTGTTTTTAAATTTGTTTAAAGTTAATTTATGTATGTATACATTTGTTTACAATTTTAATAATACATTTGTTTAGTTTTACTTAGTGGCGTATGAGTAATATTAATCGCAATCAAACTTGACTTAAGAATGTTGCTCATAAAAATTCTCAAATTTAGTTAAGATTGTTTAATATAGAATTTAATTTCTTCCTAGCCTTGCAATTCTGTGTAACAAAAACTTATACATATATATATATAAATATATATATGTATGTATATATGTAATTTGCAAATTAATTTTAGACAAGTTCACCTTATAAACCAATTAAGTGTAACTCACAGTGCATAGATTTAATCAGCTCGAAATGCTCAGTGTGGATTGTTGAATTAAGTCATGAATTAATAATTGCATTGTAGTAATCCAAAATTCATGTTATTATGCTGTAGCTTGAAACTTTTAATTATTGTTTAGTTGAAGATTGATAACTTCTTAATTTCTATTATTATGAAAACACCTTAAGTTGTTCTCCTAGACTGGTGGCTAATTAATACGACCAGTCGCTGGTAAACGTGCGAATTCTTTCATTTATATAATTTTCATAATCATTTTGCTGACACTATATTGTACATTTTAGGTGGAAACATTTTTAATATATAGTGTAAATAAATGCATGTAACTGGAGCTCTCAGTTTTCAAGTTATGTTGGAAAATTAATACTTTTAAATGAAAGAAGATCTGGTGAAAGTAGCTCACTTAATACTGTAGCGCCCATATAAAGTAAGATTCTATTCTATTGTTTGTGTTAAACAACAAATCAGGAATGTAAACATGTTCTCTCTGAATTTAGTTCGGCTTCGGGAGGATGTTTTTCGATGATCGTTGGATAAAAGTGGAGTAAGATTTTTATTTTATCAGCTCTATAAACTTGAATTATGAGAACTAGAAAATTTGATTATCAGAATTTCATGTGAAATGATTTTTAAATTTCAACTCAATTCCAATTCTGTTGCGAATCGAGAGAAACGAGCAAGATTACGAATAGCTGAGCAGATACATATGTTTTTACTGTTTAATTTTTTAACAGAAAACGTCATTCAGAATTTGATTGGTTTTTTCATATATAAAAATATATATACACAGTTTACTGTTAATTTGAGAACAATTAATGAGTGCACCTTATTCTTGCATTAGGCATCTTAAAGAAACCTAATGCAGGTATCGTGTTTAAGCATTTGGAATAATATGGTATATATAATATATGCAAATATATATGCAAATATATATATAAATATAGGAATATGTGTAAATGCCTTTTATTTTATTTTTGTCCTGATTTATTATATTTCTTCAGTATAGATTACTTATAATGTGCCATGTAACGGTTTGAAATTATCCTATTTAAAGGTCACATCATATATAACATTGTACAATTTTAAGAAAGTAAAACTGTAGTCACAGTAAGCATAATCATAAGATTAACTATTACAAAAAATAAATATATTTAGTTACTATTTTTTGATTAAAATAATTTTTAGTACTATAAGAATAATAGATTCAAAAAAAAAAAGCTGTACTTATTGGTGTTCGAATATTTTTGCAATAAGAACTATTGAAAAAATAGCAAAATAATTTGAAAAAGTTTATACGATTAAGTATTTTTAGTGTTGTCAAAAATCTCAATTACGGATATTGATTATCAATTAATAATACATCACACTGCTATACTGTTTAATAAATTAATTTTACTTGAACTGAATGTATTTAAAAGATCGTTTCGTTTAGGCTCAATTTCTCAAATTTGTATTTGCTCAATATAATTTGTGTTATATATAGAGTACATTTATTGTATATTATGCATAAAGTATAAATAATAAAACAATATGAATAACAAACTCAAAATTAAATAAATAATCATTTTCATATTCCTAACTAAAAGTTGCACGATATCATTATAAATTCTATTTATATAAAACTGCAATAAAAAGAAAAATTAAATAATTAATTATAGGACTACACAACATAACATTTTTATTAAAGCCAGCTTAAATATAAAATATTTTCTAATTTTTGTTTTTTACAGCAATATATTGAGCTTCCTTTAGCTGCTTATTAACATTATTTAAACTCAAGAAATTAGTTATAATTACTATCTTTATAAAATTTGAAGCTATAAAAATAATAAAACTATACACAGTCACCTGTAATTGTATAATTGTATACAATTTATTTAAAATGTAATCCTAAATCTTCTATTGCAATGTTAAGGATGAGATGTCCATCAATAACTTTAAAAAAACTCATTTACTCACCTGCTAAAAATTTAACCAAAACCCATGTTTCCAAAGGTGTTACCGAGTGATGGTAGACATGCAGCCAAGTTATTTGTGACGACTTTTTCCGCAGCACAAAGAAAACTGTGTCAGCAAATTCAGTCAATTTCGAGAGATAATAAATGTAGCATAAGTTCAGCATCTGGAAGTTAAAAACAAAACAAATAAATAATAAAATATGCAACAATTTGAAAATTAATTCTCATATGAAACAAATATCTATCTTTAAAAAAAAAATCTATCTTTATCAAGTTGTTACCGATATGTTAATGAATGAAAACATTCACCGAAAAATGTAAATGAAATAAAAGTTACATCATTGCAATACATTTTTATGGCTAATGGCTAATTTCCATTCTCGCCTCATCAACAAAATTGCCGTATCTGATAATTTGTTTAAAATTTGCATTAGGAGCAACAAGGGCCATGCGGCTTGGGCATTAAACTTTACACAAATCAAAACATGGATACTTCAATTTACACAAAAAAATCGAAAATCGAAAATCGAGGAAATAACAGAAGCAAACCAGCAAACCAATAATCATATTTGTCTATCAATTAATATTAGTGATCTGTGATGTGTGAAAAAATGTGACTGATGCTGAATTTTTGTATAATTTTATTTTTGATTTTATTTGAAGATTCGATCAACGAACAAATTTGCGTTTCGTGTGGTTAGTTTGGTTAAGAAGAAGAAAATTTTGTCTATGTTTATATAGTAGTTTAATTTCCGTAAAATAAATTATAGCTTATTAAGTAGCTTGTAGAGAGTCATCGCCATTTCAGAGGAGCGGTATGAGTACTTATGGTTAGCATAGAAGTCTCAATGCTATGCTAACCAATATTGTGTAATCAAAGGTGAGGGAATTTTATATTGAGTGTGAATTGGGCTCTAATATGTCCTTCGATGGTATCTCGATTGTTTTGCCTAATATTTTAATATATTATTTTTGCTTAATACAATATGTCAGAATTTTTATTTTCTTAAGTTTTTATGCAATCATAGATGCTTATTTTCAGTTTCGTTTGTTGTTTTAATTTCAAATTAGCAACAATTTTTAGAAATGAAATATTTTTCATTTTAATTCGTGTTTGTCTAGAATTTAAGCATAACTAAAAATAAATTTCAAATAAAAGAAAAATAATATTTTGAATGCCTTTTATAATCTTAAAAACTTATTTAGTTTTTTATAATTATTTGTCTCAAAAGGAAATAAGAAGAATTTTATAACACTTAGTATCATTAAACTTAAAATAATAATTGCACTTTTAAAACCATTTACAATTTAAATATAAATAAAATAGTTAATAAAAGTAATTTATTATTATGTATTTGTTACAATATTAATGTTAATAACAATGGTTTATTTTATTGCTCAATTTATGGGTAATTAAATTAATTTAATATTGCACTTTGTGATTTTAGTATACCTGAAGCATTTCATTACAGTAAACATAAGAATTTATAATTTGCAGATACTTTTTTATATTAATTTTAAAATTATAAATAGATAATGTAGTGTTTAATATTGTGTGAAATAAGAAGAATATATTTGCTGTTGATAACCTGACCTTTTTAATATTAAAAACTATTTTTATGTATATTTATTCCGCATGGATTCTATCTCTTTAACTTTTGATGTATTCAGTATAATTAAGAATAATTCAGAAAAAAATATAGTTCATTAAAATGCTTCTATTACATTATAATGTCAAAGTGATCTATTATATCTACGTCTAGAATAATAATTTTTGTTTATTTTAATTATTATTCTAATCCAATTATTATTGGATTATATTTAATTAAAAAAATTTTTTTAATTTTTGTATCCAATATCATATCTAAGCCTAACAAGAACTTATGAACTGTTTGAAAATGACTCAATATATATTCATATTAAGTTAAACAAAACGTCTTGAAAATATATATCAAAAATAACAAAATATTGTATATTACACTGTCATTTCAAAATTTATATTTTCTATATATATAAATATATATATTTTAAATTATCTTCCAAGCCATGAAGACACCATGTTTTTCCTGCACTAGTTGTCAAAACTTTAACTACACTGCTGACTGTTTTATCAGAAGATTTCAATTGTTTTTACATAATGTAATATATAATGAATCTTTTATATATAATATAATGAATCTTTATTATCTTAGGCCAACTCCAACATATTTTCTTCACCTTATAAGATAAGTCAGCACATGATAACTTAGTACAATAATAGTTCACTCACCGACAAAGGAGCTGGGTCAGGAATTTCTAGCAATTAACCATATGAAATATGTATATGCGATCGAGAACTATGTTCACTCCAATTTTTAACAAAAATGAAACGAAATCAATAAATGACAGACAGCCAGTCAGTCACCACGGAAACTAAATCTTTTTAAAAGTATAAATAAATTGTTTAAAAAAGCTGAATATATTAGGCAATAATAATCAAATATAAATTTAATGGGTTTCAAGACTTATTGCAATTGAAAGCAATAAAAGAAATATATACTTGCAAAGAAATAAGCTGAATCGTGGCTTGTACACAATTGTAATGTTTCTGTCGCCTGGTATATAGTTAGATATCCTAACTTAGTAGAAAAAAACAAAAGCGATTGAAAAATATTTCTAGATACATATAGGGTTGTATGTAAAACTCAATACCTTTATCTTTGACAAAAATTGTAGTTCTTTCTGTAATTTTATTTCTATAAATAATTTGTTTAACAAATAAATCTAGTCTAATATTTTTTGTTTAATATAACAATATATTTCGAACAAGTGTTGATTGATTCTTGATATGCAAAAAGAGAGAGAGAGAGGCAGTTTAAAAACATAAGATCAAATCTTGCAAAATTATAATTGTTTTATATGTAATGTAGCCGTGATTTATGCTCACGTGGCTACTGATTTGCTGCATCACATAATGTCTATTGTAAAAAGTCTAGCTGCACGCAAGTTTATAATGCTAATAAACTTAAATAACAAACACAAAAACACCAAGTGGAAAAATGAATAAGCATGTTTGTTAAGTAACAACAAACCAAATAAAACAACAACACCATTTTTGTTAATATTATATATTCTTGTGTTTCTGTTAATAATATTATTAAATAATAACAAACAACCTTGAAAAGTTGCAGTTTTAAAACGAAATGTTGCCGCATCGTCAAAAACGTCTGCAACAACATAAAATATAGCAACACTAATAACATTAGCAACAACAACATTGAAAAGAGTTGAAAGAAAATGCATAAAATAAGTCTCAGCGCGCATTCAGCAAAGTGTGCACAACTCCACAGTGATCTGCTGCACTGCTTCATGCATGCACTCATGTTGGAGTGCAAACAAAATTTGATTAGCAACTTTGTATTGCAACATATTTAAGCTAACTTGGCTTTGTTTTTGTTGTACCTGTTGCTGCTATTGTTTTTAATTTTTATTTGCTTGTTTTTACGAGTATTTTTTAATACTAAAGTATTAAGATACATTTTCGGCTTGTTTTTGCTACATTCTTACTTTTTATGGTTGAATGAAATTAAGCACACGACCAGTGAAGCATTTCAAATTCAAGTATTTGTTAGGAATATTCTTTATTTTCTTTAGTTTTTGCCTTTTGTCTCATATTAAATTGACTAAAGGTTTACACACAAAAAAAAAAAATAAAATCGTATAACCTGCATGATCCACTGGTATGTAAATATTTTTTCCTTAAATAATTTTTATTTTTTTATTCAATAAAAATATTTATTTTATTTAATTATTAACAATTACGAGAACATTTCCGCCATTTAAGAACAAATTCATTTATGTTATTGGTAAATTAATAGCATTTATATTTTTCTGTAATTCTTTTTATAGCTAATATATGTGTGTATTGCTTTCCGAGTTATACTATACATATTATTTTAAACTAGTTTGTATACAAAAGATAACTAGATAGATATATAACTAGAAGATAACTAGTTAAAATGCGTCGAATAATCGTAGTAATTATTACAATTACCTCATTCATTTCATTGATTTTTTTTTCTGGTGTGTCATAGGGGCACAGCAATTTATTTAAAACTGATTCAGCAAAACGCATCTCTGTAAATATTGCACTACGTGCGCAACTTACAACACACCTTTCCTTTCTTTTTCTCTCTCCTTCATTTCTCTGACGCTGAACAATACAAACATAGATGCATTTCGCCGAAGGAGCTTAAAATTAACTGTCGAGGCCCTATGCTAGCGATGCAAAGAGAGAAATTTTAATGTACACCAAAATTTATTTAAACTGATTGAGAATTATATTTTTGTTTCATACTAAAATTGTAAATATATAAGAAAATGATATATAAGAAATATATGTTATATTTCTTAATTATTCAATTACGAATCTGTAAACAAATAATATACATATGTATATACAAATTATTGACTGCACGTCTTGTATTAAATGCAAAATAATTTAAAGAGTAGGATTTCTTACAGAGTAAAGTATATTTATTTTTGTAGACTCAAAAAAATATTGTGTATTTTTATAAATTTTTACATATGGATTTTGTTTTTTTCTCGTTTTAATATAAGTTACTTAAAGAATTCTTAACAACTAAAAACCAAGGTGCACAAAATGTTTAAAGTATATCGAAATATTACGCTTTTGGTATTCATATCTATTATCATAAGGTAAATTGTATGATGAAAAGTATCAGTTCATGATATGTTAAAACATATAAGTCGTTTTATTTATCGGAGAAAAATTTTTACCAATAACTATTAAAATTACGAGTATTTATTAAAAATTATTTTACTAGGATTCAGTACAAAACTTCTGGTATGAGAATCTTAAAAAATCTGAATGACAAATCGTTCCAGACCTTATAGTTTGAAATTACGAGAGCTTATTAAAAGTTGATATCCTAAAATTCAGAATAAAAATTTGAATTTAGAGGATCTTCAAAAATAATTTGTTTCGGACCTTACAGATTTTCATTAACAGAAATACTAGTAATTGTTTCAATGATTATTGGATGAATAACAGCTGATACAAGGCACTTATTTATTATTTTTGGTTAAAATTTTTCAAATTTATTTACTTATTTATTAAACATATTTTAAAATTTTTGCAATGGTAACACCTGATTTATTTAATTTTTATCTAATTTACCCTACTCGAAATTCTGATAAATACCAACAATCGCTGCCATGCCGACATAATTTACTATTTCACTCAATTCACCATCAATTTACTCACACTCGCACACGGCTTCAATGCTTTAGTTTTTAGTAAGTATTACTTATTAACAATTTTAGTTTTTAAGTAACCGACATTAGGCCTGGTTCAATTAAATTTTATTAATATATAATTATGTAAATTGAAGTAAATAACAATGTTTCTTTAATAATAACATTTGAATTTATTAATATGACTGTTGAAATTAGAAGTCTCTCTAAAAAAAAACCCCAGAGTTTATACTAACAATCTAATTTGATGTTTATTTTACTACTACATACAGTGAAATTAATGGTAAAAAATGTAAAACACTTTTTAAATAAGTAATAAATTTTTATTCATGAATAATAAAATAAAAACAACTAATCAAACTCAACCAATTAAAAAATTTGTTATTTAGCAATAATTTTAATTTAGCAATAATAATTTAATATATTCTACAAGTCGTATGAGTGAAAAAATTTTGCAATATTTGATAAGATGTAAAGTTCTTTTAATAACAATAATAGAAATAAAAAATTGATTATTTTACAATAAACAAAATATACTATATATTACTAACACAAGGTAAATTAATTGTGTACGATGTATATATAATTATGTTATTTTTTATTAATGATGTAAGGTACTAAGTTGTTTGAGATAAAAACTAAAATTTTCTGAAGAGTAAATAAAAACACATTAATTAATATTATTAATTAATTACTTATCTCGTATCGACATTACTAATTTGTATTATTTGCCAAAGATTTTATTCGCTATATTTAAGTTGGAACTTCAATTTAAATTAAAAAGAAATGTGCATTTAATAAAAATATTTATTATCAAATTTCAATTTGTTGTTCATAAATTATTAAAACTATTATTTTCAGTCCATCAAATTCATTAATAGTTAAAGTGTTGAGCAGATTTTATTCACTTTATTTAAGTTTGAATTTACTTGAACTTAAATTATAAAAATATGAGCATTTAATAATAATATTTATTAATAAAATCTCGATTTGTTGTTAATAAATTATTAGAATTATTATTCTCAGTCTATCAAATTCATTAATGCTTAAAGTGTTGAGCAGGTAACAACTGAAAATGATTTATGTTTCATTTCTTTATTTCTATGTGGATTTTAAATGATCAAGTATAATGTACGTATTATAATTTTCATAAATTATACATATAATTAGACACAATTAAGAATTTTGCATATTGCGAATATTCAAAAATAAATGCGAAATTTAATTAGAATCTTTATAACTTCATTTTATTTTAATTTTTATATTGCGAAATTTAAATACACGAAATCTGCTCATTTCGTCTGATAATAAAATTGAATCATTTTATCTATGAAAGCCAGACACGCTTATAAAAATAATTTACTATCACCGGCAAATGTGACTGGTTTCAGACCAATTCAAAGCAATAATTTGATAATCGAATGATTGTTTGCAAAATAGCAAAATTAAAAATACGAAACGACTTTTACTGAAATTCAAACCAAATCCGTTGATGAGCAAAATATTGCCAAAAACAATTTGCCATGAACAACAGTAACAACAATAACAACAATAAAGAAATTGAATATTTATAGTCAATGTATCGCACAAAAGAGATTTACTTTTTAACCAAAAAACATGCTTTTGTCGAAGACTCAACAGATAAAAAGATAAAAGTAAAAGAAAAAATCCGCACACAAGTTGACCATGAAAATATGTGGCAAGAAATGTTGCAATCTCGTGCAGAAATTCCAAACAAAAAATCACCAGTTAGGAGACCAGTCAGAACCACAATATTGAAATCATATGATAAGCTTGCGAATTTCCGCCTAGAATCGTTACTTGTTACTTGGCTAAGTTAAAAACAAAAGTTGTTCGACGACTCTTATGCAATAAGCTTAAATGCTTACTCGTATTTATTTGGTACTTTTTTTTCAGAGATGAATAATAATAAGTGCTTAATGAATAACTTACCCGCTTTGACATGGGGCCATCTGAATAGTCCACCGGTTGACATTTCAGGTTATAATAATTTAACCAACCAGCCATCAAGTGCTAAGAAAGGCAAAGAACATAAATTATAAATAAATTATTTAAATAATTTTTGCATATTATAAATATAGTTTTGCTTAATTTATCTAACAGATACTCGCGTGTAGAGAGCTTACCTCGTAGAACATGTAAGCGCTTAGCGCTACTTGAAATGCGTTGTAGATAACGAGGGTACGTCGTAGTTGGAAAGGTTTTCTGTCGCGCATGAAAAATGGTCCTATCACTAAAACCCACGATAAATAAATACCAACAAGACCAAAAGTGTACAGAGGATGTTCCATTAAGGGAAAACGTTTCGATCGAGGATCTGGAAAATAAAAGTTAAAAAAAAATTTTAATTACTATATAAAAACTAAACTGTATTAATAATATTGTATATTATATACTCGTAATTATACATTTTAACAGATACAGCAGACTATTTGCGAATTTTGGAATAAGTAATTATGAAAATTGCAGTTGACAAATTTATTACAAAACTTATATCTGGAAAAATGGTTATTAAAATATTTAGATAGAAAATGAGAAATTTGCATGTCAAGGAAACATTGAGATATAAGTGATTATATCGTATTTTAGCGCAATTATAATGAAAGAGATGCAATTTTTGTTAGAAAGAAAAAATTCTTTAAAACATTTTTAGTATGTAAAATTATTTATAGTTTTATCAAATATCAATATTTATGAAATTTTGTAAATGGTTATTAAAAATGTAACAAATTTTAATAGTTAGCAATTTTTGTCAATTAATTAATTTATAAATTTCAACATTTCTAATACTTCTGCAAAAATTTCCCAGGAAAAGTGATGTGTCATATCTTGAATACATAAATATTATTATGTCTACTATTAAGGTAATATATTGTAGATTTTGACTATAAGATACAAAATTTTTTGTAATATTTCTTTCAACCAGTTATTAACTAAAACATTGGAGCAATTTGAAATGCAATGATAGTAAAAAGTGTTATACAATTATCATAAATAGTAATTTTCACTGTATTAAGAAACATGTTTAGTTTTACTATTTATTTGAATAGTTGAGTAAAATTAAGTATAACACGAATATTTGCCATTAAGAAATATAAGAAATTTTTGTATATTCGAATTAAGATATTTCATATAACAAGAAGCTAGATAGTTAGTTAGATATTTACATGTAACATTCATAATTATAATAGTTAAAAATACTTTATTAATTTTAAACGTTGGGAACTTACATGAAAATTGCAATTATTAAAATGATTGATCTGCGCAAATGGATTTAATCTAAATTTTCTGGTAATATACTTATGAATTTTATAAAATTGAATTTGTAATTTTATTTTAATTAACACACACTACTATTTTCAACTTACATTCTTGAATAATTTTATTTTATAAACTGATATATAATAAATACATTTCGAACTTAATATATTGCCAAGGAAGTATTTACAATTTGCATGTAATAAAGATTTGATTTAAATAAAATAGAAAAACGACTTATAAATATTGTAAATAAGATGAGAATTTGCTCAACATTGCATATATTATACAATATATTAATTAATACATTACTTAAAGACAAGGAAATAAATACCAAAATAAAAAGTAAACGTAGACAATTTGTTTGTATTAAGAAAAGCAGTGTTGACGTTATTACAAATTATACTTAGAGTTGCAATCTGGTATATCTTTTCTACTTTCTCTGAATACTATACTTTATGATTGTTTCAGAATGACGTAAGTTCACAGCTTCCTTATGCGAGAGTTTGCTGTACAGGCGGGAAATTTACTTGGATTGTAATCGACATACAATATATCTTTTACTAGAACTAAAAGTTGTTGTTTGTATAAAACAACAAGTAACTAAAGTATGCTTATTGCTTTGTTTCAATAATCTCTAATAATCACTATTACAGTATGCATATAAGTTACAAATGCAAATGACCACTATGTTTATTATAAAACAATTAATTATAACTTAATTGTTATTTGAATAACAAATCACTTTAAATAAATACCTAACTGCCTATTATTTTTGTTAGAAAGTATAATTGTTGATTTAATGTAAAACTAATGTAAAACTAACTCCGACCTAAAGTTCTACTACAGGTCACAAGAAATCTAACTATAGTTGTCGTGCTAACTGTATGAGGACAACTTTGAAAGGCAGTGAGCGAAACAATAGTACCTAGTTAAGAAGTAACGAAATGGTTATTATATATAAGTTGTAAGGGAAACTGAGTTATTGTACAAAAAACTATCCAAATTTATCTCATTCTCATTATTAAACACAATCCAAACGATTTAAAGATAAGTAAATAAATAACAAATAAATGAAAATAACTAAAAAATTATTACAGAAACTGTGACAGGGCATTTGTGGTTAAAATTTCATCTTATAGAAATCGAAACTTGTCCTGATAAAACTTGTGAGTGTTATAAGAATAATAACTACTAGCAGTTTATCCGTCACTGTAACACAAACAAAAGAAATACCTTAGTGGGCATGTTTTAACAGATAAGGAAAAAAAGATTCGGTAACGTAGGTTCAATACTACAATTTATCAAGGAAAGTGATCTTAGAAATATAATATGAATCTTGTAAAGAAACACAATTTAGCTCAAGATAGCAATGTAAAATCTTCCAACTTTGGAATAATGATCAATCATTTCGATAACCTCATTCAAATGAGCATAAAGCTAACTTATGGATCTAAAGTATAAAATCTACTGTTTTCAGAAAGTATATAACGATAGCTTTAACTTTCTCTAAGTATTAATAAGCATAAGAATATATGCACAAAATATGGCTTTAATAATATGGCTTTTTATGGCTTCAAAATAAATATTTAATAAGATTTAATGTAAACTCGATTTGAGAAAATAATAGTAATGTGGTATAAAAATAGTAATCAGTTAAATATTAAAATGAAGAACTAACTGAAACCATTTTAACTGGTTTCAAACTGTTAATTTGGCAAAACTCTTGGTAGAAGTTATAAATAACACGCAATTATAATAACACACATTCTATAGGGTCTCTATATACCTATTTAAAAAATTCTATTCTTAAATTTTAAATAAAATTTTAGTAATGCTAGTAATTTTTCAAAAACATGGCAATGAAACATGGTTTTTGTTTTTTTTATCCCGTTGTTTAAAAAAAAGATAGTAGTCAAAACCAGTTTACTAAAGACTACATAAAAGATGTCATGTTTTAAGAGATATACGAAAGATGGTTGCCAACCCACTTAGTCCAATAAAGTTCACTGTGCTAATACTCAGATAAAACTGCGAGATTGCGAACTTAGTGGTTTATATCTTAAAATTAGAGTAAATAAAAATGTAATGTGAACAAATTAAAATTTTATCTACATCATATATATAAAAATATATATATTATGTATTAAAAATGCATTTATTTACACTTGGTTCGAACATAGTGAAAGATAATGATTGTTTTGATTGTCACATTTAAATAAAATGTTTCTAATAACGCAAATAATAAACTAGTAGTAATTAATTTGTTATTGTGCACAAAAATTCTAAGAAAAACACTTAGTGAAAATAACTTAGTGAAAATAATTTATAGATATATGAACATCTACAAACTGCTAGAGATTTCGCCTTGTATTGTAATTATTTAATTTTAAGTAAAGGAATAACAATAATAATAGAAATTAAATTCAGCAAAATAAAATATATAATGCTGTTATACATGATATTGTTTTGTATTACTAAAAAATAAATTAAAATTTTTGTTGGGAATCCTAATACTTGAACTCAATTCAAGAATATTTTAAAACTTTTCTAAAATTAAATATATTTGATAAAGTCCCATATATTTGATAAAGATTTAAAATAAACTAGCGATGGGTTAAAATGTTTACTATGGGTTCCATAAAAAATAGTTCCATTGGAACTATTATGCATTTTAAATTAGAAAAGTGTAATTCACTGTTGTATATTAATAAGGGCACATTATCAACACAAATGTTAATAATATTCAGTTAATTTAAAAATAAATATACTATAATTTAAAAATATATAATTTATGGAGATTACTACTTTTATAACAATAAATTGTATAATTTGCTTATAATATATAACACAAACATATATAACGATAATTATAAAGAATATTTTAATATATAAAGCACATTTCTTGTAATTTATGCGTAAAATGAAAAATTTTATAATTTGCAGTTTTGTTATTTTGATTATTTTTAAATTCTATCAAATTAATTATTTTCATTACAATTCAATATGTGATAAAAATTCTACTTCCACAAGCCTTAAGTATAAAATCTTGTACTGCATCTACACAACCAAATACTACTCAAGTGCAATTAACAACTTTTGTTGAATTGAATTAATTTTCTATTAAAAATCTTATCATTTACTAACCGAATCACTGTGCTACACTCCTTCTATTTCCAAATAATTGAATAGTTGAGCATGATTTCGTTAGAAATCTTAAAACGTTGAAATAGTATGGAATTATTATTTATTATATATTATAAACATAAAACGGAATTATTTCCATTAATGAAATTAAGTGAGAAGTTATAGGTTAAATCGATATATTACATGAATGAAAAATATTAATATAGATTGAAAAATTGGTAATTGCTCCAAAAAACAAAAAATAAAATTCGTTTAAGTAAAATAAATAGTTTAAATCGATACTAACTTCAGGAAAATGAAATTAAATGTTCAAAAGATCAAAGGTGTCTTTTATTTATTATATTGCAACATTTACTTGAAGTAAAATGTATGTGATAATATTTAAACTTTATTAAATTCTTTATAAAAATTATAAAAAAATACATTACGTTTATATAAAATAATGAAATATCTCAATATTGGTATAATTATTTAATATAAAGTCATGTACGAAAACTTTTACTATAAAAGTGTTTTAAAAGTAATATTTATTATTGTATAGAAGTTCTATAATATGATGCTCTCTCTCTCTCTCTCTCTCTATAAGTGACGAGCTAATGGCGTAGGCCGTCTACATCAAAAACAGATGATTTTAATGTACACATAATTTTTTTTTTATCAAGTAAAATTAATTAATTATGTAGAGCATAAGTATTAATTTCTGTGGAATGACAGCTTTCTATGATTTTCTAGTTTTATATTAAGCAATTAACCTCTACTGTGTCTCATACTTCACCTGCTGACTACTTTAATGGAGAAATATATCTTATGCATAGTTTTAGTAATTAAAATAATATGTTGTAAAAGACACTAAATATTAAAAATTCAATATCAATTTAAACTAAAACTTTTGTCAAACTTAATCTCAGGAAT